TTCTTCGTGTTCTCCCTCACAAACCCTGGTATCGACAAGACCTCATACGACACCTCCTCCCAATCGTCCCTCTACTTCTCAGAGGTCCAACAAATCTCCTTTAACCCCTCCTTCCCTTCATCCACCTGCACATTTTACCTTCCCGGTCTCTGTACCTAGGTCTTCCCCTTTCACTGGCTCCGTTACAAATGTGGAGGTTCATCATCCTCCTCGTACTGTGCCTTCCTCCCCTGTCCCCTCCCAAGTTTCCTTTTCTGCCACCTCCTGGGTTTCTGCCTCTTCTGTCCCCTCCCACACTTCTCCAGTTCCCTCCACCCTTTTGCCCCCCCCCCCACCTTGGTACAGTCCATTACAGCTCCGATCTTTACTCAAACTCCTCCTCCTTCCATCTCCAATATTGTCTCCCATACGACGTCTCTGAACTCCGAAACACTTGAACCAATCTCTGAATATATTGCAGAGACCAAACCATCAATGGACACTGATCCACCCTCTGTTCCTTCTCTTTCCTCTTCTCCATCTGCGCAACTCCTTTCTTCACAACGCACCGTTCCTTTGCAACTTGAACGTTTTCCTTTGCCACCGCATGTGGACTTTTCTAACCCTTCTAGTCCATAGGTACCCTTACCTGCGGATTTCAGGTATCTTTATCGTTGCCAATCATGGCCTATTTACAGTGGAATATTCGTGGCCTCAGGGGTAATCGGGGTGAGCTTCAGATGTTGCACTCCCAGTTTTCCCCTGTTGGTGTTTGCTTACAGGAACCAAAATTACACTCTGCCGTTATCTATCCCATCTCAGGCTATAATTTATTGTATTCTTCAGATCCTTTTCCTGATGGGACCTTTAATGAAAGTGCCCTTCTTCTACGCACTGATATTCCGTACCATCAGCTATTTGTTCATACTTCGCTGCATTACACAGCAGCCCATATTCACTTGCATAGGTGGTATACACACTGTTGTTTGTATCTCTCTCCTTCTCTGGCATTATCTATCCCGGATATTGCCTTTCTTGTTTCGTCATTACCGCCACCACTTCTGTTACTTGGCGATTTTAATGCCCATCATTTCCTCTGGGGGGATGTCTCACTGTGATTCCCATGGCATTCAGTTAGAGGCTTTTCTTGCTACCCACCCCCTCCATGTTTTAAATACAGGTACTCGCACCCATTTTGATCCTCGGACTCATACTCTCTCTTGCATCGATCTCTCAGTCTGCTCTTCCTCCGCCGCATTAGACTTCACCTGGTCTGTTCTCCCGGATTTACATGACAGCGATCATTTCCCAATCATTCTTACTTCCCCTTCATATTCACCACCTCTTCGTATCCCATGCTGGCAATTTGATCAGGCAAATTGGAACCTTTACTCACAACTAACTGTTTTTAGTGAGGTTCCTTCTTCGTCCTCCATTGATGAGCTTTTACACCTCTTCTCGTCCTCCGTTTTAACCGCAGCTTCTCATTCTATACCCCAAACTTCGGGCAGGCATTCTCAGAAATGTGTGCCTTGGTGGTCTCCTGCTTGTGCTCGTACAGTATGTTTGAAACGCGCTGCATGGGCAGGTACCGGTATAATAGAACCACGGAGAGACTTCTTGATTTTAAGCAGAAGCGTGCGATCGCTTGCCGTGTCATCCGTGACGCTAAACACACTTACTGGCGAGATTATGTCTCCACCATCACCTCTACTTCCTCTATGAGTGCAGTCTAGAAAAAAGTACGAAAACTGAGTGGTAAATATTCTCCTGACCCACTAGATGTTGCCAATGGAATTGGCAATCATCTGGTCCGTATTTCTCGGGGGTTCCATCAAATGCCCCTCGTTTCTTTCCTAAAAAGTCTGCCAGAGGTTAGCACCCGGGGACTTTTCTTCTCTCAGAGAAGAACAGTATAATGTGCCTTTTACACTTCAGGAACTGGAGGCAACACTCTCAGCTTGCCGATCATCGGCAGCTGGGCCCGAGACATTCACATTCGTAAAGCTACAACATTTACATCAGTCAGCCCTTGCAGTCCTATTACGCCTTTTCAATCTTATTTGGTCACAAGGAGTTCTTCCACAGCTGTGGAAATCTGCCATTGTTCTCCCTTTCCACAAACCGGGTACTACGGGGTATGAAGCCTCCCACTATCGTCCCATTGCTCTTACCAGTGCAGTTTGCAAAGTGATGGAATGCCTGGTAAATAGACGTTTAGTGTGGCATTTAGAGACACACAACAGCCTCTCCACTCGTCAATATGGCTTTAGTAAGGGCCGTTCTACCATAGACCCCTTACTACGCTTGGATACGTATGTTCGTAATGCCTTTGCAAAGAACCACTCGGTTATTGCCATATTTTTTGACCTTGAGAAGGCATATGACACAACTTGGAGGTATAATATTTTGGCCCAAGCCCACTCCTTAGGCCTTCGAGGCAATCTACCATCCTTCCTTAAGAACTTTTTAACTGACAGACATTTCCGTGTTCGGGTTAATAATGTACTCTCCCCGGACTTTATCCAAGCTGAAGGTGTCCCCCAGGGATGTGTTCTGAGCACAACACTTTCTCCTTGCTATAAATGATTTGGCCTCTAGTCTTCCATCCAATATTTGGTCATCACTATGTTGATGACTTCGCTACTGCCTGTGCAGGCACTGACTGTCACCTCATTACAGTTTCTCTCTAGCATGCGGTCAACCGTGTTTCCAATTGGGCCACCACACATGGGTTTAAATTTTCCAGTACCAAAACTCACCAAATTACTTTCACTAGACGCTCTGTCATCTCCGATCATCCTTTATACCTCTGTGGCACCCGTATCCCTGAACGTGATAGTCAGGTTTCTATGCCTTCTCTTTGACCGTAGGTTATCCTGGAAACCTCACATTACCTCTCTGAAGACAACTTGTCACAGCCGGCTGAACCTTCTTAAAACCCTTGCTTATCTTTCATGGGGAGCTGATCGTCGAACTCTCCTTTGCCTACGTTCCACCCTCATTTTATCGAAACTTGACTATGGTGACCAGATCTATTCAGCTGCCTCTCCTGCTACTCTATCTAGCCTCAACCCTATTCATCACCAAGGATTATGTTTATGCCTTGGTGCTTTTCGCTCTTCCCGTCGAGAGCCTCTATGCAGAAGCGAACGTTCCATCCTTATCCGATCGCCGTGATGCCCATTGCCTTCGCTACTATGTATGCTCTCATGATCGCAATCCTTCCATTTATAGAATGGTCACCGATATTAGAAGACATTATTTGTTCGCCGCCCCTGTTTGCTCCGTCCCTTCTCTGTTCGCCTACATTCGCTCTTGTCTTCTCTTCAATTTCCACCTTTCTATGTTCATGTAGCATCTCACTTTTCCCTACCCCCCTGGGAAGTTCCAGCTGTTCGAGTCTGTTCTTTCTCACTTCCTTGCTCGAAAGCCCAACTGTCTACGGTAGCTTCCGCTCTCTTTTTCTTGACCACTTCCACTCTCATTCTCATGCCATTGCAGTGTACACAGATGGCTCTAAGTCTTCAGACGGCGTAGGATTCGCAGCAGTGTTTCCGGACAGCGTCGTATGAGGGCATTTACTATCTTCGGCTAGTATCTTTACCGCTGAATTGTATGCCATTCTTGCAGCACTTATCCGTATTGCATCAATGCCTGTGTCATCATTTGTGGTTGTCTCAGACTCCCTTAGTGCTTTACAGGCTATACAGAAATTTGATACACCTCACCCCTTAGTCCTCCCTATCCAACTTTGGCTACGCCGCATCTCTACCAAGCATAAAGATATTGTTTTTTGTTGGGTCCCTGGTCATGTTGATGTACAGGGCAATGAACAGGCAGACACTGCTGCACGGTCAGCAGTACATGACCTACCAGTTTCATATAGAGGTGTTCCATTTACGGACTATTTTGCTGCAATAGCTACCCACCTTCACACCCGTTGGCAACAAAGTTGGTCTACTCTACTCGGTAATAAACTTCAATCTGTTAAACCAAGTATAGGTTACTGGCTGTCTTCTTGTCACCAGTGCCGAGGTTGGGAGACTACTCTCTCCCGTCTCCGCATTGGCCATACTCGTCTTACTCATGGATATCTCATGGAGAGGCACCCTGCTCCTCTCTGTGAGAATTGTCAGGTTCCATTATCGGTCAGATACATTCTGTTAGACTGCCCACTCTATCAACGAGCACGCAGAATTTACCTCCAATGTCGTCTTCGCTCTGCTGCTCTCTCTTTACCTTCCCTTCTCGCTGATGGACCCACCTTTCATCCTGACCCTCTCATTGACTTTTTGACAACAACTGACTTACTTCACAAACTCTGATGATACCTTCAGCCCTTTCTACCTCGATGTCTTGCTACCCTCTACCCTGCACTATCCCCTGCCCCACTGTTTTCTGTAACCTACTGATCGCCCCTCCCTCCTCCTGCTGCCCAATACTCTCGCTTCCTTTCCTACCCTGCAGCGCTGTATAGCCCTTGTGACTTAGCGCTTCTTTTTGATTATAATAATAATAATAATAATACTGTGCGTGTATATAACAATAATAATAATAACAACAATACATACAGTAGTTACATTCCTGAAAACAGCATCTAATCGAAAAATCTTCTAATATGAAGTAAAGATCACAGGGAAAAAATAGGATTACAGTGAAACCTCAAATATCGAACTTTCTTCGGTCCAGAAGGCTGTTCGAGTGCCTTTACCGAATGAATTTATTCCCATCAGGAATAATGTAAATTAGATTAGTCCATTTCAGACCCTCAAAAATACACTTATAAAAGCACTTACAAAAATACACTTACATAATTGGTTGTGTTGGGAGCAGTTCGATTTTTGAGGTTCCACTGTATATTAATACCTTAGTCCCTCAAAAATGCCAGCAAATTTTTTTTAGGTCTCAAGATTTAAAAAAAAAAAATAATGTAATTGTAGATAGACACATAGTGATGCATTATACATATATAATACAATGCTTATGGCTACAAAGCTTACATAAATAAAATTTCTTACCCTAAATTTTCCTTGCTGGTGTTTATTGATGATTTTGAAAAAGAGTAGAGAGGGATGGTGTGTCCCTGCTGGGTTAAAGTGGAAGATTGTAAATCACTGGTTGAGGCTCTAGCACTGATGCTGATGGCTGTGCTGGGGTACTGAGGAATTTGGTAATTATTATAATCAAAAAGAAGTGCTAAACCTACAAGGGTCATACAGCATGGGGAGTTCAGTAATGCATTTCTGGTCTATTTTACCCTTCATTACTTTATATAGCTGATAGTAAGGTATCATCAGCTGTTTCAGGCCCTGTTTCAGAGCAGTGCTTCTAGATTTGTGAAAAAGTCTGCAATTTTACCTGTAATATGGAATTGTTCACTTAACTATTGCAGTATTATAATCATAATGAAGTGCTAAACCCTTAAGAGTCATACAGAGCTGCTATTGCTGTGTTAAGTGTTTCTCTGTAGGTTGTTCTTCCTCATCCTTGTATGTTATCTACTTCCCTTTTATCTGGACATTTTCCTGCACATTTTTAAAACCCTTCCCTGGTAATCTCCTTGTTAGCTAAACAATTTCCTGAATCTGGCTTTCAAATGAGTGGAAAACCTGTAGAAGTATTCATCATGCCAGTCCATAATTTCCCCCCAGCGTACATTTAATGCTGATTGCAAAAGTGCATGGAATGAATTGCCCCAATGTTAAATTTATGCCAAAAATCTGGCATTCCAAGCTCATTCGATGTTCATTATTGCAACAAATTTCTGCATCACTTATCATGTAGTTACACTTAAATATTTGTTTCAGTAATTCCAAGAGCCAGTGGATGTATTTGTTCATATCCACCCGAGTTCTGGATGAGTACGGGAATTATCAAGGGTAGAGAGACCCTTGTATGCAAGGTTCTTGCTGTGAAGGTTACATACAACTTCAGGAATAAAGTGATGCTTAAATTAAACCAGTCAATAAATAAGGCCTTTGTCATCCATGCTGAATGGTTTAACCTCCAAATACATGGCAAGGTGGTTTCATATGTACCATCAAAACACAGGGATACTTGAAGTGGTAAATAACCATGGGCTTAACTTCAAATTACCTAATGTATTACTACACAGTAACAAGCTGAAGCAACCCTTTAATGCCTTGAATCCTGGTGCACTTTTCTTTGCTAACTGATGTTAGGTTCTCGATGGCATCTTCTTCCAATAAAGACTGATTCATCAGCATTAAACATTTACTGTGGCTTATATCCATCATCAGATAATTTACTCCAATTCGGCAAGGAAATTCTCTACAGTTGTGTGGTCAGCAAAAATACTTACCAGAAAATTTAATATTTTGCAACTGATTTCACAATCTGAACTTATGGAACCAGCTTCTGGTAAACAAACACTCTTTATGCTTTCCTTCCTCATCACACACAGTTTTGTAGTATTCTAAGGGTTTTTCTTTATTATGATGAAATTATATGCTGAACCTTTCTTGGTTTTATGCTCAATTCACACACTGAATAATTTTCCCATTATATTTGGTTGTGATGTCATTCTTTCCAGGTCATTTCCCTCATTCATGTTAATTGAATGAACTTAAACCTCACTGAGACCACAGATTCATACTGTCTAAATCACATGTGCACCACTTTTAAGCTCAATTAAGATCTCATTTTTTTTTTTTTAAATACTAAGACTTTCATGCTTAAACTACTACTTACCATTTCCAGCATCACTCACATACCTCTAGAGTGCCATAGTTGCTATCCAGAGATGAGATACAATGAAAACATAAAAAATTATTTACATGGCTGTATGGTGTGGGATGCATTTACACACAACTGATGGAGTGGAAAGATGTTTACAGTAAAAGTGCGACTAGGCTTCCCCAGTAAAGACAATGGCCTAACCTATAAGCTGAACACAAGGTAAAGGGAAAACTTCTGCAATGTGTGCTATATTTGTTCCTCAAAAATTTACACCATAAATGAACATCATGGTACATTAATAATAAAAAAAAAAGCTCCAGGTTTTCAACCATCACACAGTGAGAACATAATAATTGATATCTTAATCGATGATCTCCTGTATGTAAAATAAACACCGTTTGCAATAGTCTTGCACTATATACATGTTTTCATTAACATGATGGTCAGCTCCTGCCAAGGCAGGGTGACTCCAAAGAAGATAACACATCTAGCAACATTCACTGAATTGCTGTGTATATGTATACAGTTATACATGTGTGTGTTAAATATACAGTAGAATTCTTGTATCTGCAGATTCAGTTTCAGTTATCCACAGTATATTGTGGTCTAAAAATAACCCGTATAATGGCCACAAAGTGCAATAGTAGTTATAGTGACAATTCTTCAAAGCCTAAGAAAAGCCATCAAGTGCTTCCCATCAGTGGAAAAGTGCTAATTCTCCACTTGTGCATAATTTATCAATTAAACTTTATCACAGGTATACAGGTTGGCCATCACTAATCCGGCAATCAGTTATCCGGTTCCATCAGTAATCCAGCACTAATTTTGGCTAGCATAATTTCATATTTCATCATTATACTGACTCAGAAATTGTGCAGATGGTTGTAAATCCACAGTAGCAAGCCAGTGGAGGAGAAAGTTATGAAAATGAGGAAGATGTAGCAGTCTCTGTTGATACATTAAGTGCATTCTAATCTAACCACTCTGTAATCCGACAACTCGCTAATCTGGCACACTACAGGTCTCAATGATGCCAGATTAGTGATGGCCAACCTGTATATGTAAATGAAAAATGATATATAAAGGGTTTGCTACTATCCACAGTTTTGGGTATCATGGTAGGTCTTGGAATGTATCCACCCACAGATATGGGGGGGGGACTACTGTATGTATGTATGTATGTATGTATGTGTGTGTGTATATATATATATATATATATATATATTTATATATATATATTATATATATATATATATATTATATAATTATATATATATATATATATATATAATATATATATATATATATATATATATATATATATATATAATATATATATATATATAAACACACAGTGGTCCTTCGTTGTTTGTAATTAATCCGTTCCTGGAGCCGTTACTATAAACGAAATTTACGATTTACGAATCAATTTTCCCCATAAGAAATAATGTAAATACAATTAATCCGTTCCTGACACCCAGAAGTATTAAAACAAAAAAATTTTTTAACATGAAATATGCATGTAGTACATAAACAATACAATGGGAAATGATGAATGAAACATTAGCAGCATAACACTTACCTTTATTGGAGATTCTTCTTAGTGTATGGGAGACTGGAGGAGGAGAAGAGTGGATTGTTTATAGTTTGGAAGGGGAATCCTGGCATTGCCTTTTCCTCTTGTGTAATGAAGGTCCTCTTTGGCATTTTCTTCCAAAAGAGGCCTGTTTTGTCACAATTGAACACTTGTTCAGGTTTCAGTACTTCAGCCTCTATGTACTCCTGGAATTCATGCACATATTTTTCAGCCGCCTTGTGGTCCGAACTGGCAGCCTCACCATGCCTTACCACACTGTGTATGCCAATACGGTTCTTAAATCTCTCAAACCAGCCTTTGCTGGCCTTAAATTCACTCACTTCACCACTATTTGCAGGCAATTTCTTTACAAAATCTTCATGCAACTGCCTAGCCTTTTCACAAATAAACGAAGTCAAGAGTATCTCCTGCTAATTGTTTCTCATTTATCCACACCAATAATAACGTCTCAACCTCTTCCAGTACTGGTGATCTCATTTTTGTCAGCATAGTTACTCCCTTTGCAACAACAGCATCCTTTATTTCGTTTTTCTTGGCCACTATGGAACATAAGGTTGTGTAGGGTTTCTTAAACATCCTGGACAGTTCGGCCACACTTGTACCACTTTCATATTGTTCAATGATGGTTTTCTTAAATTCAATCGTATTTCTCACCTTCTTTACCACAGGCTTGGCACTAGGAGCTTTCTTTGGAGCCATGGTAGCTTATTTAGTACTTGCAAGCACTAAAATAAATGGAATATTATGAAATATTTCGCTGGAGCACGTGAGGGGACCTTCGCTCACTGGTAAACAATGCCAGACTGGCTGCCGTCCTGGCTCACTCCGTGGGTACGCGTCCCAGACGAACTACGACTCGCGAGTCAACCTATGAAAAGCGAGTCCATGTTTAAACGAAAATACCTCTATGATTGGCGAATTTTATGATTGCCGGGAACTACGAAAAGCGGGGGACCACTGTGTAATATATATATATATATATATATATATATATATATATATATATATATATATAATTTTTATTAACACATTAGCCGATTCCCACCAAGGCAGGGTGGCCCGAAAAAGAAAAACGTATAGTTTTCCTTTTTCGGGCCACCCTGCCTTGGTGGGAATCGGCCGATGTGTTAATAAAAAATATAATGTATATATATATTATATATAATTTTATATATATAATATTATAATATATATATATATATATATATATATATATATATATATATATATATAAATATATATTATTCTAGATTTAAAATAACATTAAAAGGAATAAAAATTTTGATCAGAATTCACGTACTAAGTATTTCTATTTGAATGATAAGAATTGCTGTACTTGGCATACAAGTTCCATTTTGTTGCATAAAGATCTACTGAAGTGTTTGACCTAAATTTTATCTCAATTCATCTTCACAATGTAATGTAAGAAATAGGCTTGATATAGCAATATTTATTACTTGAAAATATCTTCATATTTTAAGGGTTGATAAACAGATTTGTTAAGACTATACCTACTTATTACAGAGTTGTGCTTAGTGTCTGTCACCTGTCAGGACATTGGGGAGTTGCTGTACAATAACTATGACAGTGTATTTAAAAAAAATCCATGTTTCTTTAATTTTTAAATAATTGGGCATAGTGTCTGCATTTCTGCATCAATGCAACTTTGCTTATACCTTTAATATTTTTTATGTATTTCAATGAAAATGTAGACAAGTGCTAGCAGAAATGTTATGTTGACTAATCGAGTACTGTACTTCCACTGAGCTCGTGGTGTCCAGAGTCTTGAATCCATCTCAACCTCTTCCTTAAGCCTTATAGACATCCTTAACTTAGGCTGGTGATAAATTTATGGGGAAGCA